CCCGCTCAGCCGGAGAGACCACCGCCCCCGCTTCCCCCGCCACGCTTTCCGAACAGCGGTGTCTGACAACGGGAAACAGCTCCTCTTAATATCGGTAACCTAGTGATCATGAACGCGCCGATACCGCTGCCGTTGCTGCTCACCACCAGCAGCCTCAGCCTGGAGACGCAGCTCTACGAGATCATCACCGAGAGCAGCAAGGCGTGCGCGGCGTTCCTGCGGCATAGTCTGCGCCGCGCGACCAGCCTCGGCTGTACCGCGACCGAGAGCTTCGAGACGTCGGCGAACGGCGCGATGTACAACGAGCAGTGAGAAGAGAACGACGGGGAAAGGAGCCGTTTCGTATGACGGCAATGACGACGACGACGCGGTCAAGTGCGACTCACGAGGCGCAGCATCCGCTGGACCGTCAATACGATTGCTCGCAGGCGATGCGATGTTAAGGGAACAAGTGTTCCCCTCCGTTGGTCGATTACGTCTCTCTATCTGTCTGTCTGTCTGTCTTGTCTGTCTCTCTACGAGCTGAATTAGTTCAACGAAGAGCATGGGGTCGATCGGGGTAACCGTTGGGAAATATTACCACCATACAGCACAGACCTTCAAGGGACGTCCAGAAAACGTTTCTACGTTCTAAGGATGTGTTCCCAGGATGTTCAATAGGATATCGTGTGCTGTCTGGGAACGAATATTATGAGAATATATACCTCAGCATTATATAGGATAAATGAGGCATCGCGATATTTTCTCCAATGATATTAGCTGGGCGTAACTCTTAATCGTTTCGTAATAGCTATTAAACGACATAATTATTCGAATGATTTCGCATAGAAAAAACAATTTTGCTGAAGTATTTAAAAATTTAATTAGAGACAAATTTGAAAATAATTTTGTTAAATCATCAGAATAATTATGAGCAGTACTGCAAAAACTTTGACGTTCTAAAAACCAGCTCCTATATAATTATTTTGACAGACTGAATAATTTTCTGATCTGCATCTAAATTTTTAGATACTTTTCTTACAGAAATCTAATACTAGCCAATTTGTTACTGAAAGACAGTAATTGCTTATTTTACTAAACCACTAAAAAAAAATGTACTGATTACAATGTTTTTAATACTTAAAATATAAGTGATTAATTACCATCTTCCAGCAGGTCTGTTTTCTACAACTGAATTAGTGTAAACTTTTGGAACTTAAAGTGAAATACGTATATATGTTTAATATTTGACGAAAGCAAGAAAGCAAGTTCGAGTGCAGGAATAAAAAACAGACCCAGCATTAAATTGACCAATATTAGATTATGTAAGGATTCAGCAAAACCGTTGTTTTCGATATAGGAGATGATTATCAGGATCGTCGTCAAAAAACATTTCGGTGTTGCGCTTATTCCTCGAGTCGAGATTACCCCCCGATCGAGCCTTCGTCTCGATGGTGCTTAGCGACGATGAGATAATTCGGCATGGGAATGTTTCGAATAAAAAATAAATATGCTACGAGGGATGCTGAGATCGGCGCTCGGCCGTTTGGCGGGCGAATCTCAAAGGCGATGGCAAATGCGAGATGATCCTCTTGGTGAAAGCGGAAGATTCTTATCGAGAATCTTCCTCTTAAATGGAAGTTGGAAGAAGACACCGCGCGTAACGTTAACGAGGACGATGGGACGAGCGCGCGATCGAGATAGAATAATGCGAAAGTGATTTGTGCCTAGACGAGTATATGCTTGGGAAAAGGGAAAGGTGATTACGAGAATTGCCGCGTCGCGATCTCACGCACTGCGCGAGTGCACTCGGGACTTCGTGCGACATCGAAGGATATCGAAACGTGAAATCGGCGCCCGCGAAAAGGGCGCCTCAAGCGACGGCGGAAGGGAGAAAGGACGGTCCCTCCGTCCAATTCATCCCCCGTCGTTGCAAACTCCTTCATCCATTCGGAGCAAAGGCGAAACGTGTATCTATATATATCTTCACTTTTATATCATTAATTTTCTAGGACTCATGTCGGGACTACGTGTCGTTTTTGTATCACACTGTCCTCTGTACGATTCATCGCACCGTGTTGTGTAATTATTAGAAATATGCGCTGTTATAGTTCTGCGACGACGACGACGACGATGACGAATGGCGTACGATAATAGTGTACTATTGCGACTGCCATAATATCCGCGACGACTTTAAAAAGATTACGAGCTGCCCTCGAGACACTGTGATATTTTCTTTTCGTCATTTCCGGCGCTCGATCCCGGAATTATCGAGAGCGAATGTATACGCCAATTGCCGGAGAGACGAAAGTGTTCCCTGAATTCGTTCGTTTCGCAAAAGGAGTGGTCTCAATTAATTTACGAGCGAATGACGAGCCTGATGATTCGAACGTTTAAAGAAGAATCGTTAAACCGATAAGAAAATTTGTCGTTCAAGGGTGCTTCGTGAAAGTGGGGAATTAAAAGGGATCAAAACGTATTTCTGCCGATTCCTCTTAATCTGCCTATCGAGAAATTCGCTTTGAGGGAAGGCCAGCGGTTTTTCGTTGAAATCACCGGAAAGACAGGAAAAGGAATAACTTGCCTTTACAAATCGCGGAATGTAACAGCGCATTTAACGATCGAAGTATAGCGATCTCTCGTATCGAAGATCTCAAATTGGGCATCGACCAACTGCATTAAATTAATGTCAAAAAAAAAATAAAGAAAATTACATCGGAATTAGCTGTCGATTAGCCGCAATCTCGATGACGTTCGCGATCACGTTGAACTCATACGGTGCCTCTCGATCGCCAATATACTCACGAACCAATCAACCATATTTTATCTCATAAAACGCAGGGTACACTACAGCACACTTTCCTGCTTCGGCCTAGTGGACATGTCGATTCCTTAACTACTTATTAAATATTTCTGCAATGGATCGTCGAGTTCTTCAAATCAACGAACGAAGAAATCGGCGTTAACTCTCCGTCCGACCAAGTTGGACTTTGAAAATACATTTTCATTGTAAATTTTGATAGTTAGAGGCACTAATTAATAAAAAATTGCGTCTCGGTGAGTTTGTGTTTATATACTTTTTATTGCGTAGCATATACTCCATACAGCACTGATTGTTCCAAAATTACAACAATGTTCTAGTAATATCGGAGTAATATTGCAAACATTAATTACAATAATATTGCTGCATGAAGTTCTGTGGCTGTATAGATAATGTGAACAAAAGATGTCACAGATATAAGACTTAATAATGACAGCTTTTGAACTACGGTGTATACCAAAGGTATAAAATTCGTGCTTTGATACCTCATAACTCGGAAACTATCTTCTAATAAGCAAGAAACATTTTAGAACATTTCAGTAACACGTTACAACGTTGCTACAATATTGCTGAAATGTTCCAAAATGTTTCTTGCTTACTGAGCCATTATCTATCCTTGTGTCTGACATCTTTTATCCACATAAGCTACACTATATACGGAAATTAATTTATTCCACTGAGATCCAATTTTCTATATAATCTTCTACATTTAGTGTGGCGGTCCTTAAATTTGTAAAAAATAAGTAAAATACAATTCGATTTTTCTATGATAGTAAAAACTCGTTGTTAAAGCTTTCATACGGAAGAATTTTTTCAGATTTTTATACAGTCCGGAAAATACAATATAAAAATCTACACTGAAGCTCAAAAAAGTATATGAATTAAGGTGTAAAATTCCACATGGTCGACGAAAGGTTAAATGAAAATTCTAAATGCGGAAATATCGTTCCTCGAAAAATACACGAGCGGGAAATAGACCCGTCGGAAGTTCGCTTCCCTTTTTTTAAGGTTCTTCAAATTATTGGTCTTCAAAATTGGTCTAGAATTTTAATTTCAACTTCTGCGTGAATTTGCGATACGCAATCGACATCGCGATCGCCAATGCGTTTTATCGCGACGGGAATCGACACCTCGGCCGAATCGGGAAAATCAATAACAGCAGCCAGTCTGCGCAGAGGCATGCCTTTTCTTATTCCGTCATTGATCTTTCTTCCTCTCCTTCCACCCCGTTATCGATCTTTTTGATGGAAGAGTGCAGGCGATTCGATATCTCGGAATACTCCGAGGGAGACGACGATCTCTCCCTACGTGCTGTACATACGTGTGTATATACTTGTATACTTCTATCGTACTTCAGAGACGTCGCTGAACCACACAGCAAGTGTATGATAATCCCGTATAACCGGAAATATATAGCGTACTTCGTTTCCCGCTAAAGTAGCATTATCGACGAGTGACAAAACGAGGACAGACATATATCTCCAACAGACTCATTGCCGTTCTAAATCCTAAAAAAGAAAACACCGCGATGGAGATACCGATGTCGATCGAGCATCGTGAACTCTTTCGGGAAGCCCTCTCTTTCGCGATAGCATGAACCAACGAAATCGACGGCGATCATATCCCGCATGTGACTTTGATATTTTGTCGTTTTACGTTGCCTTGGTATGTTTAACAGACAAAGTAGTTTTGCAATTGTTGTAAGATTCCTTAATGTGATTCAGTTATCCACTTAGAGGAACTAAGGGGAAGACTAATCATACTGTCTAAATTCTTTAGAGTGAAATCTCTAAAGAGTGAAAATTGAGTCAGTCTTGAAAAAAAGCTCAATTTTCAGTCTTTAAGAGTGAGATTCACTCTAAAAATGTTAGAAAGTATTAAAGAATTTTACATAATACTTTATTATTATGTAATTGCAAAGCCGCTTTTTTTGCTGAACGCAGCTCTTCACGCCGCATATGAGAATTCAGTGCGAACTCAAGTAGAACACAGAAATTACAATAATATTATAAAGACATCATCATGACCTTATTTGTCACTTACAAGTTCATTTTTAAGTAACAAATGACGTCATGATGACATTATATCATTATAATATCATTATGATTTAATTATGACTTTTATGACTATGTTCTACCTGGGAAACATAAACATTTCGTTAATCTGTAAACCTTCGGATATAAATCCGCGAGCAGTAAGACTTATCCTCGCTTCACAACTACCGATAGTGACAAATGGATCCAATTATTCGAACGCTAATAATGATGATAAATAGATTCCTCGCGTTAGCTTGATGTATCCATCGGATTATCCTACAAAAATCGAAAGGAACCCGCTATTTATCTTGCGAGTCCAATCATTGAAATTAGAGATTGATTTAAAAAACTTTTCAAATCTTTCTTATTTCATTCTATTCGTCTTAATTCCTCTCACATAGTTAAACAAATTCTTCGAACAAAATTATCAGGATTCGTAATAAGGATTTCTCCTTATTTCGTATCAGTCGCTAAATTTTATTTCACGAAAGAAAAGATTATTATCTAATCGCAAGTGTAAAAATAACATGAATGTTAAAAGGAATAAAGAAGCCAAAGAGGCTTGATTTTTTCATTTCGATGATCAGAATTTCAATTCTACGGAATAAATCTCCGGTGATTCCTTTCAAAGCAGTTCAACTTGCGGTTTCGAATGTCGCGACGTAAACGCAATATAATATTTAGGATAGAGATACTAATCGAATGGGAAAAACAAGATCTAGACGGAATCCGCGTGCAAAACGTCATTATATGATATCATTCGAACGAGCAAACCGAAGAAGTTTTTTAATTATAAGCTGTCCAAAACATACAGAATCAGTGAGAAAGGCAATAAAGCTATATTGAACTGGAAAAAAAAGATATGATAAAGTAGATTTCTTGCATTACGAGTATTATCAGAGAATTCAGAATACTATATTAATTATTGATAAAGCTAGGATAGAGGCGTATATATACATATATATATATATATATATAGAAACTATTTATAGCTACTAGGCGATAGTAGCACGGCGTAAACACTCAATCTAATTAATATAATTGGAAACTTCACCGAGATACACACAGACGAATATAAACTCTCTCTCTCCCTCTCTCATCTCTGCGATGGATGATAATTATGTCGTGGACCGCGAATTTATTATTATCTCCATTTCGAAATCATCAGCAAGCTGATACTCAAGCAGAACAAGTCATCATGACATCAAAATAACGTAAAAATGTCTCCAAAATAATTATTAAAAGTCACTTTTCAATCACTTACGATTTAACGTCATTTTAACATTATTGTGACGTGTTATTCTGTTTGAGTATCAAACACGCGCGTATCCAGGAGACAATTAATTCGAACCGGTCGAATCGAGTCTCGAAGATCCTCGAACCCGACGCGAATCTTTGCGTTATAGCTGCTAAATGATTAACAAAATTTCGAGAGCGCATTCGGTATTCTCGTATAGCCGTAAAACTATTCGACCCATTTGTGTTTTGCGACAACCTCTTCTTTCGATCACCACCTCACCGAGAAAAGGCATGCTGCGATATGTGTTCACGAAAGACAGATCACATTGGCACCAAAAACAATATATCATTTACACGCGCGGCAATTTTTACCCTCGAAAATGCAGTATGCCGTATATACATATATATATATAAAACTCAACGCGAGATGTGCGAGTTAAGAAAGGCGCTTTCCGTACATAGCATTACTTTCGTCTCGAGAGAACGTCAGCGGAAAGGCCCTTCTTAGCCCTTCTTACCAGCGAAAAGAATTGAATGAATTCACTTGTCTGTAATTGACCCACGTATAATACTATAAACAAATAATTCGTTTCTAAAAAGATTGTAATAACGTATACATATATACATATATGCATATACTATAAAGACGACTACTTTTTAAACGCGAAGACCTATAATAATGTATTTCGCACCATCACAACTTTGATAAGAAGATAAGCAATGATCGTATCAATGGTTTCGAGTCAATGATACATTATTAAAACTCATTGAACATTAAAACATTAGCCTTCAACAAAAAGAAACAAAAGAGAGCATTACAACATTAGCCTTCAACAAAACGAAACAAAAGAGAGAAAAAAAAGTAAGGTAAAACGAGAAATTTCGAACAGTCCAACAAAATAAGTGATTACAATAACGATTTGTAAAATAAGTTCACTGCCACTCAAACGACTTGCGCCCCTTAGGAGAGCGCCAATATTCCAAGATGTGAATGTGTACAGTTATGTGAAAAGTTATATTATAATACAACGTAATTATATTTACATATGATACTAATTAGCATTATGTAAAACTAAATAGCATATAACGACACTAAGAGTGTATACATACGTAGGATATAGGTAACAAGGAATAAAAAAAAAATACACATTGATCGCAGAGCTACTCCAAGGAAAAAAAAAACGTTTACGCGCCCGCTCATTTGTATATTACGATATTAAAAGTTAGCACTAAACATCAATTCTCTCCGCTGAACGATAATCAAGTTCGATTATACTTTCCTTTCGTCATCTCGCTTCTACAATGGGAAAAAAAGGGGGCGTCTATTTTTACTGTGTAATATTATAAGTTCGCTAAAATTCAAAACGTCACTATTAACAGGTCTAACGAGAAATCTAGTCGTACATTTAATCAGCTTTCTATCTTGAGCGCGATCGGCAGTGCCGCGTGATACGACGTATGTTGTTTCGAATTAATGTACCTTCTGATATTTTATAATTTTTCTCTCATAGAACGCGCGATGTTTTGTGCGATTTGCATTTATTAAGTGTTATGTAATTGAATTCTTTTTATAAAAGCCCTTACATTCTCTGTGAAAATGTTTTACTTGCCTCGTCACCATCCCCTAACAAAAAACATGAAAAAAAGAGAGGAATGCGCGTATTATTATAGTATCGCGAGATTAATTAGCATGCGATGTGTTGAAATAGAGAAAAATATTTTATTCACAATTTTATCATTTTAATATATACACAATATAATATTCCAACTAATGCATTTAGGAAAAATATAAGTATCAAATGTCATTACGCTTTATTACTGTACATAAAATACCGTCGATAAAATACCTGTAGAGATTGATTACTTATCTAAAACACAAGTTTCGAGAAACTTGTATCTTATGGTTTGCACTCCTGATGATAAGGTTCTAAAGTTCGGAAGTCTCTCCAAGTCGGTGGAAGCGCACTGTGCAAATACAAGCCGCAGCGTTTGCACGGTTCGCTGAACAAATTGATTAAACTATGAAACCATGTCTGAAAACGAGAGAAAACGTGATAACAATATGTATCGCGCATTAGAATCCTTAGCTAACGGATGATAATCGTATCTAACTAGATTTAATAGTACACGGATAAAAATAATGTTGTATTGACAACATTAGCCGACAGCAATTTAATTAAAAGTAATCTTGTTAATTTTCAATAACAGTATTAATAAAACAAATACGTCGTGCTCTTGTTATAAAATGTTATTCGTTTCATTAATACTATTATTGGCCGCTTACTTACTGTCTTAAAGTTTAAGAATCAATACTTCTTTGTTTATTAAATGTTAAACGAGGACAATTGATGCTCACAATTTGTGAGCGCGAATCAGATCGCAGTCAGTGAATAAACAAAATTATTTTTGATTAGACTGCTGTTGATTAATGCTGATGATGATCATATCACTCTTGTTGATTAATGCTGATGATGATCATATCATTCCTTATATTTACTTTACGATGTAAAAGTATACAATTATCAACAAATTATCAATTACCATAAATGATCGCACTGCTAACTCGGGTAACGTAGGCGAATAGAAGTGCAACATTGCGGCATGCGCGTTTTCCGTTACTTTACGGAAGACTTTATGTCTAGACTCCGTCCACAGGTCCATCGTTTCACCATAACCCTTGACTACCACCCGCTCGATCATCAACCCCTTAAACGCTATCACTGCTTTCAGGACGTGTCCCAGTGTAACATGTAACACTGCATTCGATGCAAACGGACGAGATACGGATACCGTCATGTCGTTGAATAGTCGATCAAACGTTGATATCATAGAGTCAACTTGCCTGTACATTTTAAAATCAATTAAAGTCCACAGTGTTACTTTGACCTAAAGATCCTATAACAGAGTCTAACCACAAGCAATTTTGTCAAAACAAGAATGAAAGAGAAGGATATATAACGACAGATCAATCGAAAGTTTATTATCTCGTGGCTAGATTCCGTTATAGAGTCTCTACTTTTACAATTATCATTAATTATCCATTGTGAAAATTAATCACAATAGCTTACGCCTGAGGTACATTATGATTGCTGGTTTGGTATCTTCCCCTTTTCGTTCTACTTGAACTTGTGTAAGATCTCTTTAGCGAGTTTTGGCTGAGCAAGGACTGGGCAACGTTACTATATTCGTGAATCTTATCTGTCCATTTGTAACTGTTAACGAGTGTGCTATACAACGCCTGTCTTTCTTGCGTGGTCTCCTGACTAAGGTAAGTTGTGCTGGCTAAATTAAATGGACCTGGTGGAGGATTTAAACTACTTATCGCCTGTTCTACGTCCCTGTAGTAATGTTTAAAACGGTAAAAATTAATTTGTTCCTTACAGTATTTATGTATAAAGCTAAATCCAATATAAAACTAAAATCCAATATAAAACTGATCTCAAATGCTTTCAAATTACCTCAAGTTAACATTCACAGTAGTCAACAGTTCTTGTAACTCAAATAAATACTTGGATTCTTTATTCTCCTCTCCATGTTCTGCCCGTAAACCATTTCCAAGGGAATCAAACACTTGTCCGACATTGGAACGGAGCACCTTGATAGCGGTCAATGCCGTCTGCAGCTGCTCCATGCTCAAGCCTGCTAAAATATTACATTCTTTTTGTAATATACAGTATACTCTTCAACACATAAAAAAAATCTATAGTGCGATATTTTTAAGTTTTCTATTCAGATAGCCGAACTTGTCAAGAGCATATATTACAAACTGTGTGTTGTATATTATGCTAGTAAACCTTCAGTAACAGCCGAGTACAGCCTGCTATTTTTCTAATATTGAAAATCACAGAAAACGAAAGTTTTGCATAACGTCATGGATTTGTTTTTTTTATTTCTGCACTAGAATTTTCTTTCTCGCATTATGATGGCAAGGTATGCTCCAATCCTATTGCATTTTTGTTATATTAAGGCTTGGTTCTATCAGTGTAAAATTAACTTTAACCTTGGTTCAATTTACTTTGTTTCTAATTCTAAAAATTAGAAATAAATCAAGATTAAAATTGATCTTACACTGGTGGAACCAGATCAGAATTAGGTCTAGAATTAGAAAAAAAGAGTAAATTGAACCAAGATTAAAGTTAATCTTACATTAATGGAACCACACCTGGTTAACAAGTTGTAATGACAGAAACCAAGCTTAAAAAGAAGACACAATGAATAGGAATTTGCTCTAAAATCATGATCCTATTAGCTGATAAATGCTGATACACTAGCAATGTTGACAATGCTGTTAGTCTTTAGTTATCTGAATACTTGACAATGACGTGATCTAATTATATTTTATGAGTGATAATCTAAGAATATTAAGAGAATCAAATAGTACACCTATAGTTTTGATGGATAGTGGCTTTTAATCTTTAATATCTTACTTTGTATTAAATATTAAGAGAATAATTTGTATCCTAATGTATTCCCTGGTGAAAATTTTTCTCAGAATTTCTATATAACTTTATAACTTTCTCATATCTTTATACGAATTGGAACGCTTCTTAGAAAATCTACATCTATTCTCAGAATTTTCCATATATGTTAATTATGAAATATAAGATATTTCTAAGATTTTTTTGTAAGTATAATTTCTGATGAAATGTTATAAAATCTAAAAAATTTTAAAATATTTTAAAATTATGGGATAAGAAATCTCAGAGTATTTCAGAATTCACATGTATGAAAAATTCTGAGGGAAGATGTGAACTTTCCGAATATTTCTGAGTATTTCTGAAAAATGTTCCGATTCGTATAAAAATAATAAGAAAAATTTTCACCAGGATTGTTAGGTGCAAAATGACGTTTTATAACCTACAAAGTTTAAATACATCACGTTTAATATACTTTACCCAGCGAATCAATTGTCGGTTGAAAATCACCGAGCGTTTAAATCCTGAGAACAAATACAGCGTTCCAGCTTCAGTTAATTTTTAATTGACATGCTTTTTCGATGTAAAATTGAATACACGCTCTTACTTCAAATCAGTTGCACCAGCAAGTACTAAAATCTGTTAAAATCTACTGTATCGCTAGATGGCAGTTTGGTTATCATTCAATACGGGCTGCAGCCGGCTACTTTCCCTCGCTGCCGCGTGCAGCGCCAAGAATCGTCACCTGACTGCGTGTTTTTTTTCCTTCGTTGTGCATCGTTGTGCAATACGAGAGGTTCGCGTGTTACATGAGGGAAATTCAAAACAAAGACAGGTACCCGCCACGTGAGAGATTCGAATAGTTGCCAATAGTTGTATTTGCATGTGTGTCGTCGGATCGGTGGGGACTGAACGATCGATCAACTGCTGATTCATCTCGTTTTCATCGGCTACTGCACGTTGCTGCACGTCCAACTGGCACAACCTCTGCGACAAACAGATGGGATACGACGAATTGAGATAGATTAATGGATAAGTAAACAAAGTGCGAATACGACGTGAGAACAGACGACATTAACCCGGCCATGGATCTGCCAGAGACTGACAACGCCGAAGATGAGTCTGACGAATTGTTCTCAGGTAATGATTGTGTGTCCTCGAATTACGGCAGTAATGGCATTCTTTCTTCCTTTTTCTTTTTACACGTACGAATTTTTAGATGACGAACAAAAGAAGGAGATTAGACACAGACCCAACGTCTGCCAGGATACCTCAGTTTTAAGTCGGTCTGAAACACCTTTGTCGTTGCTTGATAGTCCCAGTACGATGTAAGATACATTTTTATTTTGTTGCCTTAAAGTTTTGTTATGACGCAGATTAGCGTTTAATATAGTAATGATAAAGCAAGAATAATCTGTTGCGAACGAATAGTTATTGAATCATGTTGTGTATTGATAATACTTCTGACGAACAAGATGTTTGCAAGAACAAATTTGTCGCAATAAGTAAAGTCATTGAATAATGTCTGTTGTGTCAATAATACTTCTGATTCGATAGTCCCAATATGACACCTTTTTATTTTGTTATTTTGAAGTTTTGTTACAACGGAGATTAACGTCTGACATAATAATGATAATGCAAGAATAAATCTATTGCGAACAAGTCATGTTGTCTGTCGATAATACTTTTGATAAACAAGTTATTCATGAAAACAAATTTATTGCAATAAATAAAGTCATTGAATAATATTGTCTATCAATAATACTTTCGATTATATATTTTTGATATGATACATTTTTATTTTGTTACTTTGAAGTTTTATTACGATGGAGATTACTATACAATACAGTAATGAAAATGCAAGAACAAATCTATTGTGAATAAGTAAAGTTATTGAATTATATATTGTCTGTCAATAATATTTCTGATCAACAAGTTATTTTAATATCCATTATTGGTCACTTGTGAAATTGTTAATGACAGAATGCCAACTGATGCCGTAATTCCATCTACACCGTTGAGTCTGTTGCCATTTTTAAGTAAAATAAATGAACAGTGGAGTAGCGACTTAGAGACCCCACAAGCTGAACCTCATACGATATCAACGACTAGCGCAACAGTTAGTAATACATCTTTTTTATAAACTTTGTTACACTTATATATTGTACTTACAGAGATTTACTTTAATACTTAAAAAGGTAGTAATCAACTATTTATTTTGATTATTAAAAATATTGATCATTACTTTTAATACTCAAAATAAGTAATTAATTGCTGCATTCAGCAGAAAAAGCTACTTTGCAACTGTTATAAAGTTCTGTTATCAGTCTTATCTTTAGTTCTACCTATCCTTAGTTACACATTTAGATCCTCACTAGATCTAAATGTATAAATCTATCATTTTAGAAAATTTTATAATAGCTGCACAGCTGCTTTTTCTGTTGAACGCCACAATTTACTACTTTTCATTATTAAATTGACCAGAATTAAATTTCTGTAAGAGTACTACTGTTGAAACGACGGTTATAAAACGTCCCGTTTATCATTAATATTTCAGACAGAAGAAACACCTAGGGGTGAACAGCGTACACCCGACGTTTCAAGTGTTAAAAGCGTAGAAAAAATTATTTCTGATTCTCCTGTTATTGCCTCTAGAGCGTCGCGGAGACGTTCCAAGCGTCGTATATTTAGATCTTCTATATCTATAGACCCATTGGCTGTAACTGACAATGAAGATATTACTGCAAATGTACAATCTGTTATTTCTGACGATGCTAATTCCGTAGCACAAGATGACACTACAAATGCTGCAATATCCACTTTGTCTCTTGAAACTGCTCTTAAAGATGACGAGTCAAAAGTTCTCAATAAAAATCAAGACACATGTAATAATGAGGAATCAAAAAATATTACGAACGACGTACCTGATAGTTTAAACACATCCACACAAGAGTTCTTTAGCAATGTCTCATTTAGTAAGATAGATGAGTTATGTTTGGACACTTTTAACAATCAAAAAACAATGGAGACTACTGTCACACAATGTAACTACGAACAGAACGTCGACAAAGGAAGGAATATTGAGGAGAATGAAAATATAGGTTTTTTTACTGCTCGTGGTGCTTCAATTAATGTATCAAAGCAAGCGTTATTTAAAGCGAAGAGACTGTTCGCAGATATGGATGAATCCACCTTTGATATGGATGAAATGCAGACGCAGAATTATGAACCACCCGCTAAAAGAAATAAATCTAATGAAGAGAAAAATAAGCATTTACCATCCTCTTCATTCGTTAATAACGTTTTCGTCAACATTGCGAAAGAAGCATTATCCAAACCAAAACCGCTTGTAAAACAATTGAAAAATTACGACAATGTATACACTGCAGATTGTAAAAAACCATTTGTAAGTAAAAGTTTTAGTGAAGAAGTCAATGAAGCTCCTATTTTATCAACTGCTAGTGGCAATCCTATTAACATCTCAAAGAAAGCGTTGTTAAAAGCAAAAGCGTTATTAGCGGATGAATCACACAGTATTGATGACGATGAACTAATAAAATATTATGAGAGATCTACCGTTAAAAAATCTATACCAGTAAAAATTAAGACCCTACCATCGTTTTCTGCAACCAGTGGTAAATCTATCAATACCTCAGGAGAATCACCGATCAAAGCAAGAACATTGTTCGCGGAACATTTGGATGATACAGTTGAAGTAGTCGTTGCAGAGGAAACCAATGCTCATAATAAAGAAACGAAAGGATTAGAGATAAAAATGTCAAATATTAAATTTAAATCTCCTGGTAGCGCCATTGGTATTTCTGAACAGATATCAAAAGCAAAATTATTTGATAAACGATTGGATGATCAAGTGAAACCAGTAATTGCAAACAAAGTTAATAAAATCAACGAATTAGAAAATGTGCAAGAGGTAAAAATTCCAAGTATTGGATTTCAAACCGCTGGTGGAACATACATCAATATCTCGGAACAAGCATTATCCAAAGCAAAAGCGTTATTTGCGGATGAATTAGATTGTCCTTTAGAAATGGATATTCTTAAAAATAGTGATCGCGATGAAGAAAAGATTAAAAAACGCGACTTAGCAATTCCATATGGTGGATTGCAAACTGCAAGCGGTCAAGAGGTACCGGTTTCGAACAATGCTGCATTAACAGCACGAGAATTATTCTCCAATGACTGCCTGGATGAAAGTAATCCTGACTTGGGGCGCGCATCGTTGCAAAAGCGCAAACTAAGCGAGACTAATGTAGACGGGAGCACACCGCAGGGCAGGAATTACACGTCCGAAACGAAAAAGGCTCGTCTCAGCAGCGAATTTCAAGCAAGAAAATTGTTTTCCGATAATACGAGTACTAGCACGGATAACGACGAAAATCAAGATCCTGATAAAAAAAGGCAAACCTCTTCCATTGTAGATTCCATCTCGGGATCGCCTAAAAAGGACTCGATAGAATCAACCGAATCGGAAACAGCGGGCAGTCCTATTATAGGAAGGCAGTCTAGCTTGAGGAAGCGAAAGAATATAGGATATCAAAGGGACGAGTCTAATACATCGCGAGCAGATAACAAGATGCTAGATAACGAGAGTGCAGCATTGCAAGAGAACGTTGTGCAAGGAAGCGCGACTTGCGGAAAGATTGAGGACGATAAATTAAATACGAAGGAACCGACGCAAGCCGTGCAGGAAAAAGCAAAAGGCAATAGCGCGGCATTGAATGAGTACAGCGACACTCAGATGATGATGGATTTTATCGATCAATCGACGAAGGTTCTACAGGATCGCTTGGCAGCCGCGTTAGAGCAGGAGACGATAATCACCGCGAAGAGGAGACGAGCGCAATCGGAAGGATCGAAGCAATCGATGGGTCACCTGTACCGTTACAAGCAGATTAATTCTAACGCTCGTTTATCGATGAGTGAGATCGGCGATGGCGCGCCGCCCATGCCATGTTCCTACCAGGAGCTTGTCGATCGACGGATATCACCAAAAATCCTGGAGATCACCGCTGCGACCGCCGCGACGTACAAATTCCGTTGCTCCGATTTTTATGGGGACGATGTGGCGCATAGTAACGTTCGCGGGATAGAAATGGAGGACGGTGTACGTTTAATCCTGGATGAGAATGGATACGCGGGAGTCTGGGAGTTTCTCCGTGCATTTCTTGCCAGTCCGGGTGTAGATCCGAATCTCATTCCCGCACGCTGGGTCGAGAATCATTACCGGTGGATCGTGTGGAAATTAGCGTCGATGGACCGAATGAAGTTCGGCTCGGTCAAGTTACCCAGGTATAACATAGGGTGGACCACCTGATGATTTTCAAAATGAAATAACATTATGAAATATCAAATATAAATAAATTACACATATGAGTTAGTGTGTAAATAATATATTTATGAGGCGATAAGGTATAATTTGCAAACAATTGGAATGTACTTATCAACCAAGTTAACTGTAAACGTTAACGTTTCGATTCCGAGTCCTCTTCAGTGCGGAAGTCAACTACAATGAATATTTTTATTTTAATTATGAAATATAACTTAAATATTAATTTCTTGTTATATAACAATAAAAAAAAGAATGCCATTTGAGTAATGAATATATTTAGCAGATAAAGCAGCTCATTGAGCGTTCACTGATCCTTTAATATGATTCGTTTTTGCTTTTAATTCTTCGCTGGATCTAACAATAAGTGTAGAATTGTAATGAAGAATCACTGAAGCCCACTGAACTGTTTTGTGTGAACGCAGTCATAGCATTTTATTTCTTATTATTGTATAACAAGAAATTAATATTTAAGTTCTATTTCATATTGTTATTTCATTCTGAAAATCATTCTAGTTACTCATCCTGCATAACGAAATTAGCACGCAAACCATCTCTAAGCTAAACTAAGCCACTTGGAACCGGCATAATTTTACGAAACTGGTTTAGTAAAACAGTTTCTAAGCCGGGCAGAGACGTCTATATTACGAAAGGGATTACACAATTATTTTATACGATTTTTGTACGCTTCAGGGCATTAACACCTTCACACGTTATGGCACAATTAAAGTATCGGTACGATCGAGAGATCGACCGCTCTCAGCGACCGGCAATAAGACGCATTTTGGAAAAGGACGACGTTGCGTCTAAGAGAATGACTTTATGCGTGTCATCTATAATAGAAGTAATATATGTCAATCACAATGAATTTCATTGGCAAATTTTGACATGTGTTTCATGTATTTTAATTTACAGAATAATAACGTAAGTATGGAAATAGGGAAGAGTCCGCACATGGGAGTACCAAAATGGAGAATAGAATTAACCGATGGTTGGTACAGTACAAATGCCTGTATCGATATAGGCATGGTGAAGAATATATCAACTGGTAAAATAAGAGAGGGCACGAAATTGGTGTTGTCCGGCGCGGAATTACTCAACTGCGACCAAGGTTTCTATCCACTCGAGGTAGGCGTCGATTTTTATCAGAATTGGAAGCGAGAATCAATCAGTTAGTTGTTTGATTTCTCATCGTCTAGGCACCGGCTGACGTGTGCTTGAAATTGCATACGAATTCAACCAGGCGCGCACGATGGGACACGAAATTAGGATACGCGCCGCGTTCGGGGCCGATACCCATCAAGTTACGTAACGTGTGTCCGAGCGGCGGTTTAATCGGCAAAATGACGATTGTCGTCGCTAGAGTGTATCCGATGTTATATCACGAGAAAACCGCATCCGGAGATTCGAGTAAGACACACGTTTAAATCTAACTCGTCCCAGAGGGAGAGTTAGCGATCTAATTCTTATGTCTTACTTTCCATGACAGTTGTCAGAAACGCTAAAAGCGAAGAGAAAGCGCAAAACAAATACGAGCAGCAATGTTGGTCCAAGATAGAGTCGTTCTACGCTCAAGCAGAGGACTTTCAAGGAAAAGGACTTTCTTGCGAAACTAATGATATGGCGATTCAACTGAGCGAAGATTACGAAAACTTGTCTACGGAGGTATACGCGATTCGATTTATCTTATTTGTAAATTTCCCTTTGAAACCGTCAATGTATTCGTTATAAATAGGAATCCGTCTCTAAGAAACGACATGATGAATTACTGCAAGAGTTACGTCAGAAGGAGGAACGGTTCAAACAGAGGATGCAGTCAAAATTGCGCGAGAGCTTGCCGGGGCCGCGACAGGTTTCTCAGTTGCTCAAAGTTCGCGTGTGTGACGAAAGTGCGAATGCCATTCTCTCAGTTTGGTCGCCTAGCGAAGAGGTTGTCGACGCTCTCAAAGAAGACGCGTGTGTTTCGCTCTGCAACGTCGTGGCTTCCGGAAAGAGGTAGTATTCTCGTAAAAAGGAGTAACTGTATCGCCGCGTGGATGTAATAGCGCATAATGCTGGATTTTACGAGCGTAATTGTTCAACAGGGGTACCGAATTGCAACTCACCGCGCGTCGGTCTGCAATCTTTAAACCGGGAAAGATGCGCGATGCGTCTTATCCCGCTAGAGTGTGCACGTCGCTAGACGAAATAGCAAATTCCGAGTTCGTTCCACCTTATGGAGAGTTTGATACGGTCGGTTTTGTCTGTTCAGTCGGTCCTGCTCCTTATGTAAGTGTTATCATATTTTTTGAACAAGATTCTAAAGTACTCTCGAAATTGTAAAAAAAAAAATAAGAACGATGGCTAATTAGAATTTGAACGCGGTAATTGGAGCGCTAATTAATTTATAAATTTAAAAATGTTCTTTATTCAAATTAAATTATTGGACGTTTTGATTCCGCTTTGAGTTATCTTCAGTAACAATTTAAAAGGTCAAACGTTCCCAGAGAACAAGGAGTAAGTATCCTTCTAGTTATATCTTTGATATGTATAATTTTTATACTTTTATCTTTTAATTTATTGCTGAAGATAACTCAAAGCCGAAACGTTCAATTGATTAAAGAACAATTTTACATAAATTAATTAAAACTCCAATTACCTCACTCCAATTCTCATTGATCCCTGTTTTAATATTTTCTTAAGTTTCTGCGGTAATTAAAAAAATAACGGTTTGCAAAATATAAGAATGTTATAATAAAATAGATAATATATAGTTTGCAAAAAGATATTAAGCAATTAAGCAATAGAGATGTTTCGGAATTTTACTGATTTGATTCATCATTTTGTACATCTACAATCCTTAATATAATATTCTATATGGAAACATTGTAGGGTATGAGAGACTTTGATGCCGTACATTTGGCATATTGTAAAGCGGGTTCGAGCGAATCTTCGTACCTTTCAATATTGTTTTGGCAAGGAATAGCCAGTTACGGTTATACAGAGATTCTTACTGTCGGATCTATCGTAGCTTGCAGCAATTTAGAATGGCGGAGGGCAACTTCGTGGAATGTCCCAGCGGCGTATTGCACGGATAGAAGTACTTTTACGCGCAATCCTCGCCGAAATCATTTATACGAATCCTTCGAAAATCTGCGAAACCTGATCATGGTACGTTATATTATCTCCTTTTTTCGTCATGTATTTTGTACAATTTATAATTTTAATATAATAATTTTCTACACTTTTAATTACAGTTTTCTTAAATAAACCTAATTTTTTTTTTTGAAACGAGCTCTGTTAAATTCTTCGTCAGTTCCTATTTTATTTTATTTTTATAAAAATTTCTCAATTTAAATGTGTTAAATTTGATTTTCAAGGATCCAATTAAGTACGCTGAAAGCTGCACTTTCGAGCTTAACGTGGAATTGCAAAAGAAGTCGACGCCTACGCGCTACTCGACGGGTAAAAATACTCCGATTAAAATATACACTTCGACGTCAAGCGCTGACAAAAAATTGGTCGACTATACGTCGCCGCTGGCGGTACCGAAATTGGGAGTGGACAACCGCTCGAGTTTTATCTCATCTAATCCCTCGATTAAGAAACGACTCGAGAAACTCCAACAATACGGCGAAGCGCCTCAACTATCTCCTATTATACTAAGAAACTCAAAGAGGATATGTTTGGATTTTCGATCACCTATCCTTCCCATTTCAGACGTAAACTCGACAGAGACAACAAATGCTAATCAACCCGAGGAATTAAAGTCCAGTATCTCGGAAAAGCATTGATAGTTATTTTACGTTGTGTTTATTCGTTATAATTCTAATGATAAGTGTCGTAAAAAGTGTATATTTGTTAATAATTATTAAATGTTCATTAATAACAATAATTGTTTTATAATTATAATAAAATAGTTTTATTACTTCTGCATTTTCCTATATTTTCGATTCTAATTCAGCTAATCTCCTTTGATTTTATTATAAACATAATTAAGAATGTGTTTTAATGTCTACGGCTGTTTATCGGAAATGTCGAATTAATATAATTATTATTGTATTAAGAATCAGTAAGAGACACAGGAAATATTACCGACAAATTTCTGTTCAACCAAATTACGGTTATAAAATACTAAGAAGGTTGCAATATAATTGCGATATTCGTAATCAGGAGAATTGTCTGCAATCCGCAAGCAATTTTCTTTTTTTTTTTTTGGAAAAGGCAAACTGAGGCAAACATTTTATTCTGATATCTATATTACAGTGTAACTGAGATGCCTTATTTATTATAATGTTTTAAAGACTAAATTACAAAATCCGACTTTTTAGCAGGTTTCGCAACTTTGTAAAACAAATAAAAAAGGTCTTGTAAATACAAAATATTGCTAGCTTCTACGAGATAAATATAGAATTCGATTAGATTTGCATCGCAAAACAAGCAAATTTTATTTATTATAATATGTATTTTTGAAAATTGTAAAATCCAGCTTTTTAGCAGCTTTTGTAACTTCATGAGAAACAAGTTAAAAAAATTACATGACAAAATGTTTCTTCTACAAGAAAAAAATTTCTTCTTTAATTTTCACTAAATTCACGATTATAATTTATAACTTCTAAACTATTCTTCCAGAGAGAAAGTCGTTTGTAAATCCGCAGATATATCCAGGTGTTAGCCCAGCTGTTACCCCACTGCAGCTGGTCATTTTCACTAGATCTACATTTGCCTAAACATATTACTGATTTCAAAAATTTTTAAAACTTTCTGGAACAATTTATGAAAGTTGCAATTGACATAATTATTATATATATTTAATATAACTATTATATCTGTAAAATTGAGTAAGAAATGAGAAAGAACTTTAAAACTACATGACAAAAAATTCCTTCTTGATTTTTTCACACATACAATTTTCAATGCTTTACATTTTTAATGATCTCGCTTATTTTTTAATTCGAATCAACTGTGTCTCGTGCCAATAAATACCGTAAGAGAAGACAACAGTTTTTCTCGTCTTGTGAATAATATCCTTGTGAAGTATACCGAGCGCGGGGACCCTCTCAGACCGTCATGCGATTGGATCGCATGCGCTCGCAGCAGACAGAGCCGACAGAGGCAGGAGAAACTAGAAAAGGACTGCGCGTGGAATTGGCGCTCAGTTTAACACGCGCCGGCGTACCGTGCGTTTCGTTCGTGATTTTTTCTCGATTCAATTGTTCAATCACCCGGTGGATGGATGGCGATTTAAAAAGCAACGCGCGACGCGTCGGATGCTAGGGAGAAAATTCATCGTCGTGTTGTGTTTTGTTTTCTCTCCTCGACGCCGAGGGATTCGTGCGCGCGGCGATGATCCACGTCGCGAATGTCCGCGTGTAGAGTGGCGTTTTGCGGCTCGCAGTATCTGTCAGTGCTCCCGCGGTGCGTTCGATCGTAGGGTATCGTTCCTCCGTCGCATCATCGGTGCAGCGAGATGACGAGCGAGACCCCGAAGGTGGAGTTCGCTCTCGGCAGCGAGGTCTCGCCGGGTCGCTTCTTCAAGAGCGCGTTCGCGCGTAATTTCATCAGCAGCGGCCGCGACTGCAAGTCCCTGGATTACGAGCTGCTCGACAACGTCGAGAGGAACGGGGGTGATCGTAACAACAACGGACGGAACAACAATTTCTTCTCGCTCGTGAATTTCGCGGACGGCAGACCGGCGAACGGCGACGACGCGGCCGCCGCGGCGCGAACCGCCACTCTCTGGGAACAACCGAAGCCGAAGGAGGTGAATGCCTTTTGTACTGTTTTGCAGTCTTTTCTTTCATAACCCGATTCTCTCTTAATATCGCGGTAACGGTAACTACGCACGTGAAATATCATCCACTCCCTGGAGATGATGTTGCGGTATCCTGTTGTGTTGTATATTGTATACGAGGGTTATAAGAAATGATACTAAAGATACTATCGATACCAGAGATTCTGGAGCGTGTAAAAATAATTTTGCGCAAAGGAATGCGCTAGCCTGCATCGTATTGTACAGGTGAATGCACAAAAATTATACGCATTTCCTTTCATCTGAGGATTCGTCTTTTTATCTCTCTCTCTCTTTTTGTCCGGTTTAAATCTAATTCTTTTTACGAATATGTATTCAATTGAGCCTCAATTAATTACAAAATTAAAGAGAAAAAAAGCATTGCTTGGCTTGTAGCTTTTTTTTTATTCTTTTTACGAATTTCTAACTCTAATTGGATCCAATGAGTATTTTTTCAATTACATTGTGAAAGTTGTTTATAGAGAATATTTTCTTAATTTTCAATAATTTTAAGTTACATATTTATCTTATTTCTTAGATTTTAACTTTTAGAATAAACAAAATTGTTGAATTATAATAACTTTAAGCTAAGATACATTAATTTAAATACACTATATTGTAAAAAAGTATGTAAAATTACATAAATAATATGTGTAAAAATTACGCAATTTATAATGGAATATAAAATTGTAAAATTTGTACAAAAATTAATACTTTTAATTGTAAATATATCTTTATATTAGACGAAAAATTATATACAATGACAATGGTATATTTTATAGTTTCTATATATATATGTACAAATTTTTATTGTAATTTTCCATCTAATATAAAGATGCATTTACACAATTAGAAGTAAAAGTATGAATTTTTGTAAAAACAATTTTATTGGCGAATAATACATATTATAAATCTTTACAAACTTTAAATATAAATTTATTTCTCTAAACTGTTTCATTACTATGAAGAAGAATAATTTCATTTGTAAGTTATAACTTTACGTGTGTGTACATCTTTAATGGTGAGTTCCAAAATTACTCGCTATCATTGTTGTAATTTTTTACAGTGTAGAGAAATTTTAAAATGAATTCCAATTAGGGTTAATTTTAATACGATACCATTTTAAACGCAATTTTTAACGATTAATTTAAAGAACAATCTCACATCCGCAATTTATTAAATTGAAAAATTTTATGTACTTTGGATGAATTCCCTCCAAATTGATTCTGCGTGCGCTGCAATTTCGAGGTACATTGAAAAAATACTTAATAACTATTTGTTTAAAAAGTTTTAAACAAATATTTGTTAATATTTGCTAAATGTAAACATATTTATTTGATGCAAGAACTATTAATTTGATTAAACTGTCATTTTTTAAATTGAGTGAATATTTACTATTTACTGTAAGTAAACATTCACTTAGTATTATTTAAGAAAATGTATTAAAATTTTGTAATTTTTTTTTCAATGTATCTCATCCATTTCTCGTATGGATCAATTTTTCATAAGGATGTGAAACTGCTTCTACATATTCCGGAATCGTTAGACTTAATAACGCGCTTGAATTACGACGGTAGTAGCGATAGCGGCGAGTGCGTGCGTTTCTACTTTACGACTAATTACGAAATTCGTATAGCAAAGCGCAATGAAATCCTTCGAGCGTTAGACCGCGCTCACGCGTCTGAATTTTGCAATTGTCGATTTAAATACAATAAATCGGATTTCTGCCGGATAACGTCGGCCGCATATCTCCTATTGTGCCGGATCGATTAAATGTCGAAAGATGCAACGCGCGGTATTCAGCCGAAGGGAGAGGAACGCGAGTTCGCTCTCGTTGAAAATGCTCGTTTAATGCGTTACATATAAAGCGGCGGCCGTCAAATAATTCGATACTTTCTATTCTTGACAGGCGGCACAGCCGGCTGCAGATGCGAATGAATTGGAGAAACTTCGAAAGGTGAGTTTATTTATGCCTCGTCGGCTGTATTATTGCACATTCATCCCCGGAGAGCATCTCCCCGCTCAAACATTCCCGGCTCGGACATACGAACGTACCCCTTTATCTCATTTAGAATGCGTTGTCAACGTAACACGGCTTATTTAGAATCCTGAAAGGGTACCACTTTACTTGTTTCGAAATGATTCAAGATCGTGGTGCGAAAACCGGAATGCCATAGAGATACGGTTAGCACAAAGGAATTAGAACGTACTTTCTGTTTCATAACTAAATCGATCATTTCGAAGAATTTTATGTCAATCCATAATCTTTGGAATTCAACAAAGAAGGCTGAATTTAATTTTTACTGAAAAAAGTCTAGTAATAGCTATATTTTGTTTAGCGTAATTAATGCAACATTTAATAAATATATATACAGCCTTAGCTAAAAGTATAAAGCATCCCCACAAATTGACGTAAATGTTCTATTTTGTAATATTTAACGAATAATAAATGAAAAAATAGATTGAAAAATATTCCTTATTTTTTGTGTCAGTTTTAATATTTTGTTAGTTTTCTTTTAGATTTTACTGCCTTTTCTAAGAATATGCAATAAATTGAAGGTATTTTTACTTAGGCTACATGTAATTGTTTAGTAGTATTAAAAAAGTATAAGATAATATTTAGAAAAGTAAAATTAGCGTTTAGTTGGTTTATATTAACTGAACACTTGATTGAAATTATTTCATTAAATCTTTAATAACTGTCATCCATGAAGATTTTGCTGAAAGATCTAAAATTTTATTGGATACAGATTTGAAAATAATTTTGTTGGATCATCAAATTAATTTCGTTGGAACTTTAGACTGTCAGAATATCAAAATTTTTGGCAGCATTACTTATCATTTTTTCGTTTTCAATATAATTATTTTGATGATCCAACAAAATTATTTTCAGATTTGTATCCAGCAAAATTTTAGATCTTTCAACAAAATCATTCTTTCTCTGTAGATTTGATCTATTATTGGACTTTTTCCCGGTGTTTTAAGTTAAATATAAAGATTGAGAAACGAA